ATCACACAGAGATATGTCCCGCCTCCTATATCAATGTGTGTTATATATCACAGACATCACACAGAGATATGTCGTGTCTACTATATCAATGTGTATTATATATCACAGACATCACACAGAGATATGTCGCGACTCCTATATCAATGTGTATTATATATCACAGACATCACACAGAGATATGTCTCGTCTCCTTTATCAATGTGTATTATATATCACAGACATCACACAGAGATATGTCGCGACTCCTATATCAAAGTGTGTTATATATCACAGACATCACACAGAGATATGTCCCGTCTCCTATATCAATGTGTATTATATATCACAGATATCACACAGAGATATGTCCCGTCCCCTATATCACACAGAGATATGTCGTGTCTCCTATATCAATGTGTATTATATATCACAGACATCACACAGAGATATGTCTCGTCTCCTATATCAATGTGTATTATATATCACAGACATCACACAGGGATATGTCTCGTCTGCTATATCAATGTGTATTATATATCACAGACATCACACAGAGATATGTCGTGTCTCCTATATCAATGTGTATTATATATCACAGACATCACACAGAGATATGTCTCGTCTCCTATATCAATGTGTATTATATATCACAGACATCACACAGAGATATGTCGCGACTCCTATATCAAAGTGTGTTATATATCACAGACATCACACAGAGATATGTCCCGTCTCCTATATCAATGTGTATTATATATCACAGATATCACACAGAGATATGTCCCGTCCCCTATATCACACAGAGATATGTCGTGTCTCCTATATCAATGTGTATTATATATCACAGACATCACACAGAGATATGTCCCGTCTCCTATATCACACAGAGATATGTCCCGTCTCCTATATCACACAGAGATATGTCCCGTTTCCTATATCAATGTGTATAATGTATCACATACATCACACAGATATATGTCCCGTCTCCTATATCACAGAGAGATATGTCCCGTTTCCTATATCAATGTGTATTATATATCACAGATATCACACAGAGATATGTCCCGTTTCCTATATCAAAGTGTGTTATATATCACAGACATCACACAGAGATATGTCCCGTTTCCTATATCAATGTGTATTATATATCACAGATATCACACAGAGATATGTCCCGTCCCCTATGTCACACAGAGATATGTCGCGACTCCTATATCAAAGTGTGTTATATATCACAGACATCACACAGATATATCTCCCGTCTCCTATATCAATGTGTATTATATATCACAGACATCACACAGAGATATGTCTCGTCTCCTATATCACACAGAGATATGTCGCGTCTCCTATATCACACAGAGATATGTCTCGTCTCCTATATCACACAGAGATATGTCTCGTCTCCTATGTCACACAGAGATATATCGCGTCTCCTATATCACAGAGAGATATGTCTCGTCTCCTATGTCACACAGAGATATGTCGCGTCTCCTATATCACAGAGAGATATGTCTCGTCTCCTATGTCACACAGAGATATGTCGCGTCTCCTATATCACACAGATATATGTCTCGTCTTCTATATCAATGTGTCTTAAATGGCACAGACATCACACAGAGATATGTCGTGTCTCCTATGTCACACAGAGATATGTCTCGTCTCCTATATCACACAGAGATATGTCCCGTCTCCTATATCACACAGAGATATGTCGCGTCTCCTATATCACACAGAGATATGTCTCGTCTCCTATATCACACAATCTTTTTAACTCTGAAGAAAAAAAGAAGTGGCCAGTGATTTATTACCCGTATTGATTGAATAATAATAACAACATCTTTAACATGCCAGTCACATTTAGCAAAAAATACCAAGGAAAAAAAGTATGTTTATTTTTTCCTACCTGCGAACAGGTAGGTTGGCTGTTAACGTATTTTACAACCAGGCGGCGTGTATCCTGTGCAGACCCACATCGACCCAGCAAACACGGTGAAGGAAGGTTGTTGGAGAATGCCACCCGGCAGTTTTTCAATCGATCGTTTTTATCAGTACCTGTCACTGTTTGTTAAACATACACACTTATCATTAGTCCTGGTGATCATCACGTGACAACAGAAATATGACAACAGTGGTATTTCATTGAAACATATAAATATATTTGTCACAAGTAGCTCAGCTTTGTCAAACCCTAGTGACGTTAATGTATTTGGAATGTGTGTGCGTGCGTGCATGCGTGTGTATGTGTGAGAATGTCATATGTGTGTAAGTGTGTGTGCTTGCGTATGTGTGTATGCTATGTGTGTAAGTGTGTATGTGTTTGTTATGAGTTTGTGTGCATGTGTATGTTATGTGTGTATGTGTGCGTTTGTATGTATGTGTGTGTGTGCGTGCGTATGTGGATATGTGTGTATATGTTCGTGTGTATGAGTGTGCGTGCGTGCGTGTGTATGTATATGTGTGTGCGTGCGTGTGTGTTAGATATATATTTGTGTGTGCATGTGAGAATGTTATGTGTGTGCTAGCGTGTGTATGTTATGTGTAGGAGTGTGTGTGCGTATGTGCGTGTGTATGTGTGTGTGTGTGCTTGCGTGTGTGCGTGTGTATATATATATACGTGTGCGTGCGTGTGTGGTAACACAGAAGAACACCTCCATATACAACCCGACCACGTTGCCCACAGTAAAAACAGTTCAGATGTTTTGTTTAAGCCCAAAAGAAATACACTAAGTCTGTCGGTGTAGGCTATGGTGTAAATCTCCTTGTTAGCACTGACATTACCTTTGTCACGGAGCACAACCCTTTGTTCGAATCACCCAGACCCGGAATACTCATATCTTGCATGAGTTGTCAATCGCGTGCCTGTTGTACAATTATCTTTATCCATTCACCCCCAACCCCACCCCCACCCCCACTCCCACCCCTTCATCGACCAAGGACTGGTTGCACAACCGGAACCCCCTGGTGTGTGTATAATGGACACCTCAACGTATTCGTGTAGTATGTCCCGCACAAGTCTGGAGATTCCCCACAGCTCAACCCCGGTAGGTTGTTAGCCACTGAATATATGTGTATAATTATCATGTATATATCACACACGTGTGTTATCATATATATATCACCCGGGAGGAGTGTTATCATATATCACCCGGGACGGTTGAGGGATTTCACTCTAATGTGCTGCTTCCACTGTGGACTGTACGATCGTGACAACACTGTATCGTTACAACACTGTATCATTACAACACTGTATTATTACAACACTGTATCGTCACAACACTGTATCGTTACAACACTGTATCGTTACAACACTGTATCGTCACAACACTGTATCATCACAACACTGTATCATTACAACACTGTATCATTACAACACTGTATCATTACAACACTGTATTATTACAACACTGTATCGTCACAACACTGTATCGTTACAACACTGTATCGTTACAACACTGTATCGTCACAACACTGTTTCGTCACAACACTGTATCATTACAACACTGTATCGTCACAACACTGTATCGTTACAACACTGTATCGTCACAACACTGTATCGTTACAACACTGTATCGTCACAACACTGTATCGTCACAACACTGTATCGTTACAACACTGTATCGTCACAACACTGTATCGTCACAACACTGTATCATTAAAAAAACTGTATCATTACAACACTGTATCTTCACAACACTGTATCATTACAACACTGTATCGTCACAACACTGACAACATAGACGTTGCTATAAATGTTACCAACACCATGCCACTGTGTATGTATACCACAGACTGATGGTGTTATTTCCCCCTGACGAACACTCTACCCCCACACAAGACACCATGACCATATCGCCGGACCCTGTGTGTCAAGTCTAAATATACTTTGAAGTATTCAATAAATAATAATTCGGTAACTACAGAAACGCCCGTGAAGTTCTATCATTAGATGTAGGAGGGTGAAATCTATTCACTGTTACATTTTGTGTAGGAATTAAACATGGCCGTGGTTAATATGGGGAGACTGTCCTCAAAGCAAGCTTTAATATGGGGAATATTAATATGTAATTAGTCATGTGGCTTGTCGACAAGTGGTGATAAATGATGTATGTTTGATGAAGAGGACTAGACATATTGAAACTGGCCGTGTTTGTCCGGTAATAACAATACAGATGAAGGACGGGCGGGGTTCATACGGTCTGTAACAGAATATTACTAAGTGTTCGGTAACGCCCTGCGTGCAGCGTGGCAGGGCACCTCCCCGATAAGCTCTACTCGTGTTATACCCGGGAACGTTATCGGGTAGTATCGCCTGGCATGTTTCCACACTCGCCGCAATGTTGAGATGTTGACCCTGTGAGCATTTACTTTTGACTGTCATAAAGCTGTCAGCTCCCACTAGAACATTATTACAAGCCGGCAACAGGTGGTGCATTACTCGTCCTAATGTTAGGGTATTGTATATTGTGGTATAGGGTATAGCCCCCCCACCCCCCCCACCCCCCACCACACACACACACACACATCCGCTATGAACCATTCTTGTTACGTAGTACTAGCTTGTTTCGCGACAAGATACAATTTGTTTGTTGTTTTACAACGAATATACGTCACAATGTTCCAGCAAAGTCGCCGTGCACTGTAAACAACCGAGACTGGCATACAATTGGATACTATCATGATCATCGCCCAGCTCCACCAAGACACCATGACATGCAATCAAAAGGATAATAAGTAGAATCTAGCTTTGGCCCTAGAGCGACCTCGACCTTCAGTGAGGAGGGTAGCTACCGGAAGCGAGGAACACAGTATTCCTTTGGACACAATTAAAGTTTATAAAATATTCTGTATATCCTTTTCTCTGGGGTAGTCTACTGGTTAAGGCATTCGCTCGTCACGCCAAAGACACGGTTTCGATTCCCTGTTTCGGGTCCAATGTGTAAGGCACATTTCTGATGCCTCCCACTTCTACTAAAAGTGGCGTAAAACCATACTTACTAACCCCTTTTCTCTCCCTGCAGATATTAGTGAACGACGAACACCATGAGGAACTGAACGTCCACAATGTCAACCAGCTGTCCTCCCGCCCGGGGGGAGAGGCTGAGAGTGATAACATTAGTCTGGGCATGTCAACGGTCAGCAAGATGAGCGTCAAGACCCCACCCCCCGGGGACATGCCGCGCTCACGGGCATCCAACCGCACCCCCATTCCCCTGCGCTCCATGGAGGTGGATGAGGAGGTGCGGGGGTACTACAGGGAGCTGCAGAGGGTGATGGGGGACAGGGGGTACGCGGACAGGTGCCCCTCCCAGACCATGCTGCAGGAAGCTAAGCAATGCTATCGGAAGATGACCATCGTCTGGCCGGAAGATGATGACGGAGTTATCTGCCCCTCCCCTCCGAAGACCTTGAAGAAAGATATTCTTAGTAAAGAAAGGATTAGGGAATTAGACCAACATGTATTCAACGTAAGTGTCATGTATCTTTCCACGTCCATACTAACCCAAGAGAACAGTGCTATGTACGAAATTATTAACATTCATAACGTCGTTAAAGACTATATGGTTTAGTTCTGAGTAACAGCCGAGAACTAAACATTGTAAATAGTAGTCCATGTCACTGTCTGCCATTCGAGGAATACATCTTTACTTTTTACTTGAGTTTAAATGACCCGACGATCCTTTCTAGGACTGCAAGTGTGCTTGTCCTCACACCTCATTGCTCCGTTCTATATAGAGCCCCATATCACGAGCGCCAAGAGATGAGGTTACATACCCAGGTACCCCAGAGTTCCTGGTACAGACCCTGTTTTATACATTTAGCCTCACATTATAGAAGCATCAAAGTAAGTACGTATAATGCCTCACATTATAGAAGCATCAAAGTAAGTACGTATAATGCCTCTGGATCTCCGGGACTCCCTGGTTAACGGATTTCCGCGTGTCCGGGACTCCATGGTATCCGGGTGTCCGGGTTTCCGGGACTCCCGGATTTCTGGGTTTCTGGGTGTCCGGGATTTGTCAGCAGACTGGTGACGGCTATGATCTGCGTCACCTCGGGCACCCTGGGATGTGACTGAAATCTTGCACATTTTGGTGATAAACCCAAACTCACTCACTCACTCACTATATATAAAAACACTAATTACCCAGGTGCCCCGGGAGTTCCTGAAGCAGCCTCTGTTTGACCTGGTCCAGTACCTCGTGCAGAAGGCGGAGACGGAAGTGGAGGAGGCGCACGTGCTGTACCGCTGGCTGACGTCACAAACAATGGAGGAGGTTGTCACCCAGAACGGGCAGGTTGACACTCCCGATGACTATACCACTGTGTATCTACAACGACTGAAGAGGGCTTCGCTGTCCTATGCGGATATATTCGCGGAAATGATGGGGTATGGTGCACATGTTGACGGTATTATTGTGTATGAGTGCGTCTTGCCGAGTAATCTGTTAACAAAATGTGAATTTGTAGTGCAACCATTTTTTTATGGTTACTTGTCAAAATATGACTAATAACTATTGGTCGCTGTCAAGTAAAAGTACACCGATTCTGATTCTGATTCTGTTTCTAGATTTGTCCGCAGAATACTCATGTTTGTGGGTTTCACCAGTGGGGTATCCTAGTGGCCCGTCACGTCGAAGGTCCGGGTTCGATTCCCCACATGGGTACAATGTGTAAAGCCCATTTTCCGGTGTCCCCGGGGGTGGGTAGCCTAGTGGTTAAAGCGTTCGCTTGTCACGCCGAAAACCTGGGTTCGGTTCCCTTCATAGGTACAATGTGTGAAGCCCATTTCTGGTGTCCCCCGTCGTGATATTGCTGGAATATTGCTAAAAACCATACTCACTCATTCTGATTCATAAAAGCATTATTACGACCCGTGAAGATCCAGGGTAAAATAGGTCTTCAGCAACTCATGTTTGCCGCAAAAGGCGACTAACGGGATCGGTTGGTCAGGCTCGCTGACTTGGTTGATGCATGTCATCTTATCTCAATTGCGTGGATCGATGCTCATGTTATAAATCACTGGATTGTCTGGTCGTGACTCGATTATGTACAACCGCCGTCACATAGCTGGAATATTGCTGAGTGAGGCGTTAAAAAAAATATGAACAAACAAACATCAAAGCATTAAAGGACGTTTTGGTGTTGTCTGTGTTCTACAGCTTCACGTCTATAGAGTGTGTGAAGATCACAGGTCAGATGAGAGTGTTTCCCAAACAACCGTGTGAGGCTGTGACAAAGACTGAACGCCACTGTTGGTGCGCGGTGTACCTCGGGCGCGAGTGGAGACTGATCGACTGTTTCCTGGGCGGCAAACTGTGGCACGACACTCACGACCTTCGTCGGCAGGAAGACATCCTCAACATCGACCCCAGCTGCTCCTTCGTCTCCGACCTCAACCACTTCTACTTCATCCCTGATCCAGAGAATCTCATCTTCTCTCACTTCCCTGACCGGGACTACTGGCAGCTACTGCCGAGGTTCATCACAAAGGCTGAGTATCTTACCATGCCATACCTCAAACCCGAATTCTTCTGTCTCAACCTCAATTGTCCGCAGGATAAAATAACCGTACCGACTAAAAACGGGATGTGTAAGCTGAAAGTGAACTTTCGAAAAGGTTCCGGGATGAAATTTTCTTACAGACTTAGTAAAGTGGAATCAAAGAAAAGCAATGTGTCTAAAAAAGCCAGTCTTAAAAATAATGTGTTCTTGGAGAGCTCACTGAATTCCAGTCGTGCCACGTTTCTTGTGAATCTTACGGAAAAGGGCAAATACGTCATAGAGGTGTTTGGCAAGTGCAGCAACCTGTACATGGAGCGACAGCCTCACTTGTGTTCCTTCGGGATCTCCTGTTCTCAAGGGGTGGCAGGCTTCAAGTGCTACCCCGACAATGACAGGAGCGAGTGGGGACCAGGGGCCGACGTGGAAGCCATGGGAATGGTGCCAGTCACACACGATTCTGGCATTGTTGAAACCAAAAACGGAGAAGCAGAAATTGTGTTCAAAGTGCCAGATAACCTGACTTTCTTTCAAACGATAACATCTCGCAATGGCGGGAAGGATCAGGAAACTTGTGTCGTTCACCAGATGGACAAACAAAAGGTTGTTTTCACTGCCAGGCCAACGGTCGCCGGAGACTCGTGTCTCAAGATATTAGCCCGACCTGAACAGAGTGAGGGGCACCTTATTCATGTATGCAATTATCTCTTACGGAGCTCAGAACCAAATGAATCTGTGTTTAGTTTACCTAAAATCCCTCACGGGAGAATTGGACCAAGAATGATGTTGAGGAAACTAGGAATACGAGTCATTAGTCCTAAGTCAGCTCTGATATATTCACCCCAATCTGGGCGGATAGATGTGAAAGTGCAGACGACCAAATCAGTGACACTCAAGGCTGATGTCACACATCACCTGAATGGTGTCATTCAGGACGTGACGGAGTTTGTGTCACAGACCTTGAATAAAAACATTGTGACTTTCACTGTGAAACTGCCAAAACATGGAACGTATAACATAAACCTGTATGGCAAGAGAACAGACGACAGGAAGTCAACAGTGTCCCATGACGTCACAAGGCCAGTAGAAGAGAGAGATGGGATGCCCTTGCTTCACAATATTCTCGTCGTCTGCCACTGGCCTTATAAGGACTGCTCTGAGTTCGCAAGTACGCTGCACGACTGGGGACAAGGATGCAAGCTGATGGGGCCCCAGAGGAAACACCTTCCGGCAGGCTCCATTCTGAAATTCAAACTCCACGTGCCTGGTGCTGATGATGTCGCAGTTCTAGATGGGGAGGACTGGCAGCATCTCCAGACGGAGGATGGTGCATTGTGGGAAGGGGACATCATGGTGGATGATGACCAGGCAGGCTCGTCCATCGAGGTCAAAGCGTCTGTGGGTGGAGAGTATCGCCCTATGCTTCAGTACCAGGTAGCGTCTCGCTTTTTAAAGGGTTTATTTTAGATGAAACATTTAATATTGACTTGCCTTCTCATGTGTTTGTGGTAGCTGCCACTGGATGGGCAGAATACATTCACCTTTAAGCACTATTTGATTCGTGGACATATGCTCGCGATTTGTGGGAATCGTACAATCGACTCTGCTTTTGTCGCATTTATTTACATAAATTAGAGGTTTATTGGAGTCTCTTTAACAGCCAACATTACTGAGTTATGAATACTTAATTGTTTTCCGACAGGTGCTGTCATCTGTTGAGTATGCAGCACAAAAAGAACAGAGGAAGTACAATTCTAGGAGAGCCAAGGAGAGAATCAAGAAGTTGAAAGCCGAGGGGAAATGGCGTGATCCGCTAGTGGAGAGTAACATCAACGTTGACGACGGGGATGACGTGTCGCTGCAGATTGTCGATGACGACTCCGAAGATGGAGACAGACAAACAGAAACTGAAAGTGAGGCTGATCCTGCTGGATCGCTCACCGACAGTTCCACCAGCACTCTGCGCGCGGTCGTCAAGAGAGGGGTGAGCAACACGATAGAGGTCACAGCAGAAATAAATGGTAAACCACTAGACACACAAAGTGACAGCAGCACCGACAGTGCCACAAGAGAACCAGTGACAGCAGCGGAGAAGGAAGCAGTCACAGACGATGGCCAAAATATGGAAAAAGATGATTCAGACAATAGTTCCAAAGTTCGAGATGTTCTGGGTGTTGCTAAAACTGATAACGATGTGAAAGGGAAGGGTGCCAAATGCAAGATGGGGGATGAAGACGTAACACAGATTCCTACAGGGGGAAAAGTTAAACTGAAAGGTAACGACATTAACGTCAAAGAAGGTGCTGACGGTGCAGGGAATGACAGGGATGTGAAGGAACAAGCCGCGGTGACCTTGAACAAGAAAGAGGTTTCCTTTGCTCTAGAAGACTCCTCCTCAGAGGACTCAGATTCAGAGGGGGACGAAGATGAGGTACGTCTTGACCCATTAAATCTTCAGCGTATTATTTGTTACTTCGTTTATTATGTCAAATATATAACGTCAACGCAACGTAACGTCTCGATTATCTAGTGAAACAGATTCCATTGGACGTGAAAAGGCAAAATAGTGATGAAAATTATATGAATGAATCACTGACATGAGTGAATGAGTGAGTAAGTTTGATTTTACGCTGCCTTCAGCAATATTAAAGCGGGGACACCAGAAATGGGGCTTCAGACATTGTACCCATGTCAGGGATTGAACCCGGGGCTTCGGCGTGACGAGCGAACACTTTGACCTCTAGGCTACCCGACCGCCCCTGATCACTGAAATGAGCGATGAGGCGACTAACGGGACTAACGGTTTGTCAGGCTCGCTGACTTGGTTGATGCATGTCATCGTAACCCAATTGCGTAGATCGATGCTCAAGATGTCAATCACTGGATTGTCTGGTCCAGACTCGATTATTTACAGACTGCCGTCATATAGCAGGAATATTGCTGAGTGCGGCGTTAAACAATAAACAAACAAACAAACAATCTGGTAGCACTCGCCACTCAGACAATCTGCATAATTTGCATTCACGTGCATCATCTAACAGATAGATATTAGTCTTATTGCTTTGTGTAATTTGTCTAATTCGGAGCCACGTGTTCAGCTGTAAGCAGTTGGCTGTTTTGGAGAAATTGATGTTTCACTGGTAGATCCATAACAATGATGCTGCCGAATTATGTTTGACAGACGTGTATGGATAGACATGTCACATTCATGTCCACAACACTAGTTTACTTTGATGTCATAGTTAGAAATGTATCACCTCACATCACACGAAAGCTAGCATCATTAGAAGAGATTATTATGTCTTGTTTGGAAGAGTTGCTTTCATACTTTGGGTTTTTGAAAAGTTAAGAGGATGACCATAAGAAATGTATATATACTCACCGCCAAAAGAAACGCGAATACTATACATGTTGGTTAATATATGAAGACTTACTCTTTCAAGAGATATTAGATTGGTTCGATGCACAAACAACCATACTGGTATGTTGTGTGAACTGATACTGATGGACGCATCACGTGTGACGTCAAAGATCCATCACTCGAGATGCACCATTTGTCTTGTGCAGGATTAGCGTGTAAAGTTTGGAAAACATGTGCACCATATCGTGATAAGAATACAGTCACCTTGTGGTAACACTTGACTGATTGTTAGTTTTGTCATTAATTGGTACAGATTTGAAACATCTCTTCTTAACGTTTATACTTCTCTGTATGTTTCTATGGTTCGCGTTTCTTTTGGCGGTGAGTATATTTTTTAAACTGCAAGAACACGATTGTTTAAGGAGAGTGACTTTGAGAGGTGGCAGCGCAAGCAGTTGGCGGTAGAACAGAGAGAAGAAGAGAGGACTATTCTGGACTTCTGTACGTAACCTTGCTTTGCCCTGTACTGTACCATGGAGGTCTTGTTTCGACAGTTATAGTCAGTAAGTTTGGTTTTACGCCACGTGTAGCGCAATATTCCAGCAACATCACGTCGGGGGGACACCAGAAATGGGCTTCACACAGTGTACCCATTTGGGGAATCGAACCCGGTTTTTCGGCGTGACGAGCGGACGCTTTAACCACAAGGCTACCCCATCACCCCTCGTCAAGAGTGCTATGTATGACATGCCTTATACCAACATTAATCTCCATGGGATCATAGCGGGTCCATCGATACCATAAATGTTGGGTCCAATAGCACTAATGTTCCTTCCTGTCCAACCCTGTCAGATCGTATAGTGACGTACATAAATACGTCCCCTTCTTCTCAAGCCCTGGCGGTTCGTCTACAGTGACGTACATATATATGTTCCCTTCTTCTCAAGCCCTGATAGTTCGTCTACAGTGACGTACATCTATATGTTCCCTTCTTCTCAAGCCCTGACAGTTCGCCTACAGTGACGTACATATATATGTCCCATTCCTGTCCAGCCTTGTCAGTTCGTCTACAGTGACGAACATCTATATGTTCCCTTCTTCTCAATCCCTGACGGTTCGTCTACAGTGATGTACATATATATGTTCCTTCTTCTCAAGCCCTGACAGTTCGTCTACAGTGACGCACATATATATGTCCCCTTCTTTTAAAGCCCTGATAGTTCGTCTACAGTGACGTACATATATATGTCCTCTTCTTCTCAAGCCCTGATAGTTCGTCTACAGTGACGTACATATATATGTTCCTTCTTCTCAAGCCCTGACAGTTCGTCTACAGTGACGTACATATATATGTCCCATTCTTGTCCAACGCGTCAGTTCGTGTACAGTGACGTACATAAATATGTCAGATTCTTGTCCAGCCTTGTCAGTTCGTCTACAGTGACGTACATATTTATGTCCCATTCTTGTCCAACACGTCAGTTCGTCTACAGTGACGTACATATATATGTCCCATTTTTGTCCATCCCTGTCAGTTCGTCTACAGTGACGTACATATATATGTTCCCTACTTCTCAAGCCCTGACAGTTCGTCTACAGTGACGTACATATATATGGCCCATTCTTGTCCAACGCGTCAGTTCGTGTACAGTGACGTACATAAATATGTCAGATTCTTGTCCAGCCTTGTCAGTTCGTCTACAGTGACGTACATATTTATGTCCCATTCTTGTCCAACACGTCAGTTCGTCTACAGTGACGTACATATATATGTCCCATTTTTGTCCATCCCTGTCAGTTCGTCTACAGTGACGTACATATATATGTTCCCTACTTCTCAAGCCCTGACAGTTCGTCTACAGTGACGTACATATATAGGTCCCATTCTTATCCAGTCTTGTCAGTTCGTCTACAGTGACGTACATAAATATGTCAGATTCTTGTCCAGTCTTGTCAGTTCGTCTACAGTGACGTACATAAATATGTCAGATTCTTGTCCAGTCTTGTCAGTTCGTCTACAGTGACGTAGATATATATGTCCCATTCTTGTCCAGTCTTGTCAGTTCGTCTATAGTGACGTACATAAATATGTCCCATTCTTGTCCAGTCTTGTCAGTTCGTCTATAGTGACGTACATAAATATGTCCCATTCTTGTCCAGTCTTGTCAGTTCGTCTATAGTGACGTAGATATATATGTCCCATTCTTGTCCAGTCTTGTCAGTTCGTCTACAGTGACGTACATAAATATGTCCCATTCTTGTCCAGTCTTGTCAGTTCGTCTACAGTGACGTACATAAATATGTCCCATTCTTGTCCAGCCCTGTCAGTTCGTCAATAGTGAAGTACATATATATTTTCCGTTCTTGTCCAGCCCGTCAGTTCGTCGACAGTGACCTACATATATATGTTCCCCTCTTATCCAGCCCTGCCAGTTCGTCTGCTGCTGAAACGTCTGCAGGGCGCCACCAAGCGGAAGGACAAGATCGAGCTGAAGTCCGCCATGTCTGACTACCAGGACAAGGAACTGGACACCACCAAGCGGGAGTTCCAGGAGGCGAGAAGGATCCTCTCTGTCCTCAACCTCAGAGACGGTGAGTTGCAAAAAACGGTCAGATAGTGCGTGTCTCTTCCTCTTGTCCTGGAGCCCTACTCCACCAGATAATGGTTTCAGTCTTGACGTTATGATTGTGCAAGGTGTTGTCGTTCCAAATAATAGGAGACGGGGTTGAGGTTAGGCTTCGTGATAATCGACGTTTCAGCTAGAGTGACTGTGAGTTCCCCAATCACAGATCAATCAGTTTTCTAACCCTGACCCTAACCCTAACCAAAATGTACCGTTACAGAGATCTTGGACACTCTCCAGAGGAGCGACATCAAGAAGCTGAGGGTGAAGGTCGGGGATGCAGACAGACGGGGATTCTCCTCGGAGATGCAGCACGAGATGGGCCTTGCACGTGCAAGACTGAAGGCGTCGGAACACGTTCAACGTTTGCACGTGCAGATGACAACAACGTGTATTGACGTGCCGACACTTTCGGAGATCATCCGTTATGTCAAGCCCCCGCCGCTCGTGCACCACGTTGTCATGGCAATGCTACTCCTGATGCACCAACACGAGGGGAAGACAAGGGTCAGTGTGTGGCGAGCGTTTTTAACAAATACAGGGGGTGATGGGGAATGGTTGATACGTTGTAAAGAAAGTGTTCATATTGGGACTGTGGGGATTCCTAAGGTTAGAATCGGTTCCCAGCAACCTATGCTTGTCGTACGCGGCGACTTAAAGTATATCATCAAACCCCGACGTTATCAGGCGTTGCTCACAAGAACTGTTGCTCATTATATCAGTCACAGGTTTAGATTATGTCCAGGCCGACGAAAAGTTGGAATATTGCTCAGGGCGGCGTTAAACAACAAATATGTTTTCCATCCAGAAGCAAAGCTCTACATGGCGAACTCAATAAAATGTAAACTGATGTCGAGATTCCGGGGATGACACGATTTAGAAAACTGATATCATACAATTGTGGATTTCGAGCAGAATTTCTTCCGATTTCATAATAAAATGTGTGTTTTGTTGTATTCAGCGATGGAAGAAGAGTCATAAACGATGCGTCATGATAGGATCTATAAAACTGTACCAGAAAGTTCACCAAGTGCAGATTGACGACATTGATCCAACAATCGCTGCACGTGCACGGCAGCTGCTGGAGATGTATGCCCCGGATGAAGCCGGCATGGTTAGCCCGGGGGTCGGGGCTCTGTACGGCTGGGTAAGACTGTATTTTTAAAAGGGAGGGGTCCAAACTATCAACATCCTCTTCCAGTGGAGGTGGGGAGGGGGATTCTCTACAACACACTATATTTGGTTTTAAAGAAAGGGGTCAAAACATCAAAATCCCCTCTGAGATGAAGGGGAGTGGAGGGGGAGGGGGGGTGTTTGGGGGAAAGATATTGTCTAAAACATACTAATTTGGCTTTCACAATGAGTAAATGAGTGAGGTTTAACGCTACTTTGAACAGTGTTTCAGCGATGCCACACGGTGTCAGCTAAGCAGTTAAACGGGGTGACAATAGATGGTTCGATTGTCACCTTTAGGTGTGCCTGTATTCACCCTTTTTCCAGAGGCAAGGGAGTTAACTGCCCGTAAAATTCCAGGTACCACCCCTGCCGAACTAGGCTGGAGTTCCTGGGCATGATTGTAGGCCACCAGTGGCTGTTACGAGTTATGTCCCTTCTGTGTCCCTCCTTCTCTCATATCACTTGCATTTGCTTCAAACAAAATGGCGGCGACCAGTCAAGACGATAGTCGTAGCGTTAAGATTGCTTTATGCAAGTGGGCCCAGATCGATAATCAAACTCTATATTGTGATAAAACGGATCTTACTTCGCGAAGTGCATCAAATCACGTGAGCACCTTGATTAAACAGATGAAAAGATTTGTAAAATATCTATTGACACTAAGTTGTCGGCACACATGCTTCGCAAATCCAGCAATGGACCGAAATCTGCACGACAGTTTACGAACCGGATGTCGATTTCGTTACGCGATTCTAATTGGACTGTGTATAGTCTCGTAAGTCCAGCCAAATATTACTCCATAATTCAAGCCAAGTTCGGCAAGGGTGGAAACTGGACTTTGATAGTCAGTTAACTCCCATGCCTCAGGAAGATGGTATACCCCACGAACCCTGTACGCGTGAGAGTCGACTCCAGCTATTAGCTACAGCAATCTCATTAAAATCAGACCTTAGTTCTGACTACCGCTGAATAAAGATCTGAGGACATCCCATTGCGGGTCATGTCAGAACGACCTTTCTTCTGACCAATCAGGGCATCGCTTATCAGATCATGAAAGTGACAGTTGGAATGTGATTTTTGATGGTGCAACCTCGATAAAACACACAGGGTATTCCGAACGACAGTTATGTCTGTATTCACCCAATGTAGGCCATCTATTAGCCATTCCAGAATGTTCTTTTGTTCAGTTTTTAATTTTTTAATCGAGTATATGTCAAAATATGTTTCGAAGCGTAGTCGCCAGTTTGCAACTGGTGCCGCAAAGCTCGATTAAGCTGCCTTCTGATTTTCTATTGTCGACTCATTGTTAGTCATTCCATTGGTTGGTCAAAGTTCGCGAAAGGTCGGTCTAACGTAACCCGTAATGGGATGTCCTCAGATCTTTGTTAAGCTGTAGCGAGAACCAAGATCTGATTTTAATGAGATTGTAAGCTACAATAACCGAATGATCACTTAGCAGCTGTTAAATTTTAAATACTGCCCAATTCACATCCCTATTCTACGTATTCCATTTGTATTGTTCACTTCATCTTCGTCAACCGTTGCAGGTGCAGAGAGTTGTGGATGAGGTTCTCAGTAACCATGACAACGGAGACGAGCCAATCAAACCTGCTACCATTAAAATGCAGCGCAGGATCTTCAATGACGTGAAACCCACGAAGACGCCTGACTTTGTACGTGACCGGTTCAAGACCACGTCTCTCGCGGCTGTGAAACTGCGGTACAGGGACACCACCAGCAAAGACAGGCACAACAGCAAGTCCCTGCACGATCTCAGACGGGCGGCTCATAATGAATAGTGTCTCGTCATCTGGAACAAAGTAGAATTATTGTTGTCTGCTTGCTGTTTCACCAGGGATATAAGTCTTTATTAACACCTGGTTTGATAAACAACATTGTGTATGATTAATGAATTATTAAGCATCCAGGACTGGCCAATTCGCGTCGCGACGTGGGATGACGACGGGTTTATCTATTGTGTATCAAACTTCATTGTTACTTTTCGTCGACATATACTACACAGTTCCTGACAATTGCCAGTAAGGGAGGCGAATGGTTATAATGAGATACAACAGTAATTATTGCATGCGTATGTTTCAAAGAGCGGTGGTGGTGGTTAAGGTGTTCGCTCGTCTCTCCGAGGTATTATGTACATGAATATATTGTAAAGGAGCAGTTACCATGGTAACAGTTCAGTACATGACACGGATTACAACATATAGGATTGAACCACAGTGTACAGCCTACTCCCAACTCCCATCCCTTCCCCAATCCCGTTTTCTTAAAAAAATAGAAAATGAGAGTTACAGTTTACTCTATGTCAACTATAATGTCAACCACGATGTGGTTCGATGACCATGGCCATCAGAATGATATCAGATATTCCTCTACTTATTAACATTACAATAATGTCAGCAATCGCAAGTATACATTCGTTTACAAATTATTTATTTATCGTCGATATCAAAATATATTCTTTCACGTGTATTATTTTATTGTCTTTAGACTAATTCCTGTCATCTGTGATGTATTACGTATACTACACAAGTGATAACTATGTTATGTTTTATCTAAAAAAATATATACAGTGAAACCCCGTTATACCGGACGCCTTCCAGGCGCTTCTCTTATGAACGTCTACGTGTACGACAAAACATTGCTTCGCAACATTATTCGTTAATCCTGATTCTTATAAACCGGGCAATTTCACTATGAACGATACGTCCGGGTTGACGGGGTTTCAGTGTAACGCCTACCTGTGATACGATGTGTTGGATCTTTCCGAGACCCGGATATAGGAAGTCACTCACTAACCCTGTGTCAACACTTCTATATGTTTTATGTTAAAAAGTATTTCCAGCTTTACACTTGTGAAAATACTTCATTATGCCCATAGAGACCAATATTCATACGATTTAACATAGTTACACACAAAAAGCTTTTTGAATATTAATCACATTATAAAAGTACGTGTAGTTAATAACGAGTATACTTTTGTAGTTTTTAGTTGTGAAGGTTTCATCAATCTTAAATACTTCATGCAAATAGTTGAGGAAATACGCAGCTAAATATCGTATATTCCTTGAATTACTTAATCTTTTCACGTGTAAAATATCTTAAGAACAAGCTAGTACTCTTCAAGTCATTACTGAGTATAGCTATTCTGGACTGTAGAGTAAGAACATATCAGCTGACACTGTGAACGATTCTCAATATGTGTAATATTATGTGTCCTAATAAAATTCCTGTACAGGTTTCTTGTTGTTTTGTCCTTATTCTTTGTCAGACCAATCAGCAGCAACGTTGTTTGCTGAATAGCTGTCGTTATTAAGGCGTGGTCTAACGGTAACTCAATACACGACACTGGCATAGGGCGTGGTCTGATAGTTACTCAATACAGGACAATGGAATAGGGCGTGGTCTGATAGTTACTCAATACAGGACACTGGAATAGGGCGTGGTCTGATAGATACTCAATACAGGACACTAGAATAGGGCGTGGTCTGATACATACTCAATACAGGACACTAGAATAGGGCGTGGTCTGATAGATACTCAATACAGGACACTGGAATAGGGCGTGGTCTGATAGCAACTCAATACAGGACACTGGAATAGGGCGTGGTCTGATAGATACTCAATACAGGACACTAGAATAGGGCGTGGTCTGATAGCAACTCAATACAGGACACTGGAATAGGGCGTGGTCTGATAGATAATACAGGACACTGGCATAGGGCGTGGTCTGATAGTTACTCAATACAGGACACTAGAATAGGGCGTGGTCTGATAGCAACTCAATACAGGACACTGGAATAGGGCGTGGTCTGATAGATACTCAATACAGGACACTAGAATAGGGCGTGGTCTGATAGCAACTCAATACAGGACACTGGAATAGGGCGTGGTCTGATAGATACTCAATACAGGACACTGGAATAGGGTGTGGTCTGATAGATACTCAATACAGGACACTGGAATAGGGCGTGGTCTGATAGATACTCAATACAGGACACTGGAATAGGGCGTGGTATGATAGCTACTCAATACAGGACACTGGAATAGGGTGTGGTCTGATAGATACTCAATACAGGACACTGGAATAGGGCGTGGTCTGATAGATACTCAATACAGGACACTAGAATAGGGCGTGGTCTGATAGATACTCAATACAGGACACTGGAATAGGGCGTGGTCTGATAGCAACTCAATACAGGACACTGAAATAGGGCGTGGTCTGATAGATACTCAATACAGGACACTAGAATAGGGCGTGGTCTGATAGCAACTCAATACAGGACACTGGAATAGGGCGTGGTCTGATAGATAATACAGGACACTGGCATAGGGCGTGGTCTGATAGTTACTCAATACAGGACACTAGAATAGGGCGTGGTCTGATAGCTACTCAATACAGGACACTGGAATAGGGCGTGGTCTGATAGATACTCAATACAGGACACTGGAATAGGGCGTGGTCTGATAGATACTCAATACAGGACACTGGAATAGGGCGTGGTCTGATAGATACTCAATACAGGACACTGGCATAGGGCGTGGTCTGATAGATACTCAATACAGGACACTGGCATAGGGCGTGGTCTGATAGATACTCAATACAGGACACTGGAATAGAGCGTGGTCTGATAGATACTCAATACAGGACACTGGAATAGGGCGTGGTCTGATAGATACTCAATACAGGACACTGGAATAGGGCGTGGTCTAAAAGAAGCACAATACCAGCGCAGGGATGGGGCGTGGTCTGACAGCAACTCAATATAGGACGCGGGGATAGGGCGTGGTCTAACGGTTACTCAATACAAGACACGGGGATAGGGCGTTGTCTAATAGCAACTCAATACAGGTCACTGGGATAGGGCGATGTCTGATAGCTACTCAATACAGGTCACTGGGATAGGGCGTGGTGTAACGGTAACTCAATAAAAGGCCCGGGGATAGGGTGCTGTCTGATAGATACTCAATACAGGTCACTGGAATAGGGCGTGGTCTAACGGTAACTCAATAAAAGGACAGGGGATAGGGCATGGTCTGATAGCAACTCAATACAAGACACTGGAATAGGGCGTGGTCTGATAGATACTAAATACAGGACACTGAAATAGGGCGTGGTCTGATAGCACCTTATTACAAGACACGGGGATAGGGCGTGGTCTGATAGGTACTCAATACAGGTCATTGGGATAGGGCGTGGTCTAACGGTAACTCAATACAAGACACGGGGATAGGGCGTTGTCTAATAGCAACTCAATACAGGTCACTGGGATAGGGCGATGTCTGATAGCTACTCAATACAGGTCACTGGGATAGGGCGTGGTGTAACGGTAACTCAATAAAAGGACCGGGGATAGGGCATGGTCTGATAGCAACTCAATACAAGACACTGGAATAGGGCGTGGTCTGATAGATACTCAATACAGGACACTGGAATAGGGCGTGGTCTGATATCTACTCAATACAGGACACTGGAATAGGGCGTGGTCTGATATCAACTCAATACAGGACACTGGAATAGGGCGTGGGCTGATAGATACTCAATACAGGACACTGGAATAGGGCGTGGTCTGATATATACTCAATACAGGACACTGGAATAGGGTGTGGTCTGATAGATACTCAATACAGGACACTGGAATAGGGCGTGGTCTGATAGATACTCAATACAGGACACTGACATAGGGTGTGGTCTGATAGATACTCAATACAGGACACTGGAATAGGGCGTGGTCTGATAGATACTAAATACAGGACACTGAAATAGGGCGTGGTCTGATAGCACCTTATTACAAGACACGGGGATAGGGCGTGGTCTGATAGGTACTCAATACAGGTCATTGGGATAGGGCATGGTCTGGTAGATACTCAATACAAGGCCCGGGGATAAGGCGTGGTCTAACGGTAACTCAATACAGGACATTGGAATAGGGCGTGGTCTGATAGCTACTCAATACAGGACACTGGAATAGGGCGTCGTCTGATAGATACTCAATACAGGACACTGGAATAGGGCGTGGTCTGATATATACTCAATACAGGACACTGGAATAGGGCGTGGTCTGATAGATACTTAATACAGGACACTGGATTAGGGTGTGGTCTGATAGATACTCAATACAGGACACTGGAATAGAGCGTGGTCTGATAGATACTCAATACAGGACACTGGAAAAGAGCGTGGTCTGATAGATACTCAATACAGGACACTGGAATAGAGCGTGGTCTGATAGATACTCAATACAGGACACTGGAATAGGGCGTGGTCTGAAAGAATCACAATACCGGCGCAGGGATGGGGCGTGGTCTGACAGCAACTCAATATAGGACGCGGGGATAGGGCGTGGTCTAACGGTAACTCAATACAAGACACGGGGATAGGGCGTTGTCTAATAGCAACTCAATACAGGTCACTGGGATAGGGCGATGTCTGATAGCTACTCAATACAGGTCACTGGGATAGGGCGTGGTGTAACGGTAACTCAATAAGAGGCCCGGGGATAGGGTGCGGTCTTATAGCAACTCAATACAGGTCACTGGGATAGGGCGTGGTCTAACGGTAACTCAATAAAAGGACCGGGGATAGGGCATGGTCTGATAGCAACTCAATACAAGACACGGGAATAGGGCGTGGTCTGATAGCAACTCAATACAAGGCCCGGGGATAAGGCGTGGTCTGATAGCAACTCAATACAAGACATTGGAATAGGGCGTGGTCTGATAGATACTCAATACAGGACACTGGAATAGGGCGTGGTCTGATAGCAACTCAATACAAGACATTGGAATAGCGTGTCGTCTGATAGATACTCAATACAGGACACTGGAATAGGGCGTGGTCTGATAGATACTCAATACAAGACACTAGAATAGGGCGTGGTCTGATAGCTACTCAATACAGGTCACCGGAATAGGGCGTGGTCTAACGGTAACTCGATACGAGACAGGGGGATGGGGCGTGGTCTGATAGCTACTCAATACAGGCCGCTGGGATAGGGCGTGGTCTGATAGCTACTCAATACACGATCCTACCCCGATGTGATACATTCAGTATTCCCAATGCGTCGTGGACATATTCGTACAAAAGTAGAGAGAAAACAATTCGATAGGCTCATATGGCGTTGTCAAACAAATAATAATGTTCATGAGAAATTCATCATACTTATCTATTCTAGTAAGAAGCACGAGCCTAATTTCAACACTTTATATTGGATATCATGTCGAATAATCAAATAGTGCATCGACTGCATCGCCATCTGTGGTGAAAAATTAATAAGTACTTGGAACACCAATTCATCTCACGGTGAGCAAATCTGATTTTTAGAGGTACCTAATATTACATATTGTCAGAGTTACGTCCCTTGTATAAGGGACGTCACTCTAATTTTGTTGTGAGGCGATTCATGCTTTTATGTTTTCGTCGACTGATCGGCAAAATGTCCAAGTTTCACAACAGACGGAGACTTCTAGAAGACCAGGATTCATTTAGAAAGACCGGTGTGCCATGGTAGATATTTCCAAACTACTCTCTCTCACAGGTCTCTCGTTCAACAACTGTAATCATCAAGGCATTTCTTCACTCTAGGCCTACTAATATCTCCAGATGCAGACTACTGTCACTACTGATACTAAACATTTAAACACTGGTAATATTTAACTAATATTCACCTTCTGAGTTATTTTGATCTCGGGCAGTATTATCACGGTTAAATGTGTATTACACTGATGTGTCAACTAGCCATCAGTGTAACAAAAATAATTTCACTGACTTACCAAACGTGGGTCGAATCCCAGATTATGTTTCTAGGTTTGTCACAACCCTGCCTGTGCGCGTGGGTTTCGCCAAAGTAGTAAGTGTCTTAGACCTTCATAACTTTGAGCTTTCCTCCCATGTCAAGCTGACGCATGATGTAAGATCTGACAACTAAAATAATGTTTTAAACCCAATGCTGTTCCAACAATTATAAGAATTGACGTGGGTTTATGGGCACAGGCAGTGATCCATACCTAAAATAAATTGCAATTTATGAACTCTTATAGATACAAAAAATTATGCATCACACTTTTTGTGTGCAATGCTGTCTTTTCAAGAATAGACAAATTGACAATTAAAAACTGCACCTTTCAATCATGAAGACATCGCCTCAACTTTCTGATCATGATTCATAATATGGATGTTTGAGTGTTTCTTGGGAGCATGATAATCATACACGTTATTTCTCAATGTGAACAGCACAGGATTGTTTAGCTATCAGGTGCTCACAAAAACACTTTTATATAACCGTAAATAAGGCTTACATAATGTCATGGCTTACTGAAAATCAATGTGTACATGCGGTGGGTATGCTGCGAAGAGGGAGGATGCAAAACGAAGTTGCTAGTCATTGTAATATTGAACGAAATACAATATTATCTCTTTGGAAATGTTATCTCCAGCCGGGCAACACTCATGACTTGCCATGGGCCAGTCATCCACATATGACGTCACATCAACAAGACAATCATATTCAGTGGGTGCATCTGTGGAATCAATACCAAGCTGCCACATCAACAGCTCGTACAATTCCTGGGATGAGGCCAATGTGTGGCAGAACTGTGCGCAACTGGTTGAGGAAGCACAACATCCAGCCCTGATGTCGAGAGATACACCAAGTTTTGTTTCCATGTCATGTCAAGCACGCCTAGCTTGGTGTTGATAGGATCTGAGCTTCAGAAGACCAAACTGGGACAGTATACTGTTCACAATTAGTCCAGGTTTCATCTGGACGGCTCTGATGGTCATGCAAGTGTCTACCAGAATGCTTTAGCAAGGCTTATGTCACTCCAAATCGTCAGTTTTGGGGTTGGAAGTGTCATGTTATGGGATGGCATCACAACTCATGGGAGGACACGGTTCATCATTGTTAATGGCAATTTGTATGACGTTTTTACCGGGCTGACATGTATCGAGATCATGTTTTACCATTTGTGCAAATACATGGACGTAACACCACGTCGCAGCGGGATAATGCCCACCCCAAGATGTAAAAGATTGTTTGAGATTGAAACATGTCTACGACAGGTCCAGCACCACCCGGTAACACCATCTGTTGAGCCAATCGTTGGTTGACATTTGGAATAACATCCCCTGCTCTGGTGTCTTCTAATGCACCGCCAGTGCCACGTCTGTATCAACGAATATCATCATGAATGGTGGCCACACAGCATATTGAAACTGTTAATTGAGTTGTTACGCCACCCCACTTTCAGGGCGTGTCTGTCTCCTGTTACCAGGTATGGGTTTGGTCAATTATTATTTCAATTAAAAACATTTCCACTACTTTATGTGAAGCGCAGTTACTTTTTGTCCTCTGGTATATAAAAATCACACTTATCAGCGTTAGAAATTGGCACTAGTCCTAAGTCCTTGCCAAAATGCCCCATGGTTAAGGTATAATAAGGACTAGTAAAAAGTTGTGGGTTTTTTAGGGCTTCGCTTTAGGTTACCATCATAAGGACCAGTGGACTAAAACTGTTAGTTTCTATCGCTGCACATGAGACTGTCATGTTGTCATGTTTCTGATGTGTTACACATTAAATAAGACACACCTTCATGGCCCTCGATGCTGAGTAGCAAGTTTCATCAATGTACGTCTGGCTGCTCTTTCCACATGCATCAGAAGTAAAGTTTAGTGATTCCAACACTGCCACGTCCTGCTGGTGTTGTAGGGATGGTGAATTGGTACAGCCAAGGATGAAATCTGTTTGTTTTAGCGGCTGATGTGTGGGTTTCCAACCTTGTGACCTACAATCAACCAGTCTACACCTTCTGACCACCAAATACTGGTACTGATAGTAGTAGGTTCCCAGCTGAAGCATGGACTTGCAAAGTGGATTTGACCAATACATTACTAGGTTAAAACCACTTGCCTAAACATTGCACATTTGAGGTCCAAAACACAAATGTGATACCCATATTAAATACATCACCATTGAATAACCATTTCTTGTTTGTTCCAAGTTTAAGCACCATAAAACATGGCTGTATACTTTCTTTTGCCCTGCAGTTTATTTAACATTTTATCAATTGACACAAACAATACAATGTGTCGAGTCTCAATAATCTAGAGGCCCAATCAGGAGACAGGGTATGAATTTGTCCAAGAATGTGGAAATTATGGATTCTGTTTGGTCAATCGGACATATCATTTTACATCATGTCAGCCACCTCTGACTGAAACACTGTTTTCATGGCAACATCACTGGGGAAGCTATTATTAATAGAAAGAATTTATTTCTCAGTCATTGTAAGTAGATACTTTTGAATAATTATATTACAATAAATCATTATAGATTACAAAATGAAAAGTTGCTAATACTACAATATTTAAAGTATGTGTGGCAGCAAGTTTGGGGCATAAAACATAGAAATCAACTAAGAAAGTGTAATTCAACTTTTAGGGACAAGGAGAGTTTGAGATTTAGCACTTTTCTGTAGCCAACTGTGACATCACATCTTTTGTGCAGTGATGTGGTGTCATGATAGGGATGAGCGCTGAAGAACCTAACCTTGCAAGGCTTGCTTCATTTTCTTTTGAGGTGTTCATTTCATGTTGGTTTATAAAGCAGCAGTGCACACACTTTCAATGTCTGTCATATATATAAGTAAATATATCGATGTCAAAGAACAATGTTTGAGCATATACAGCATCACAATTTTGTTAAAGGCTATTATCAGCGTTTCCCAGAAAAAAAACACTCAAAACACTGGACTCGAGCCACACTTGTTATCTTTGCTCACACCATAGGTTTTGTGTTTAGTGATGTCATGGTGGAATGGAGATGAAATAATGCATATTGAAATTTAAGGTAATGTCACTATAGATTAGATACATCTTTCTTATATGTTTCAAATTGCTTGATGTTCCAAAGCATAGACACACTCAGCCATCAGTCCTGACGAGTTGAAATTGACGCTCATCTGCCAACGAAAACATGGCTTTTTATGTCACTGTTTTACTGTTCTTGCCTGTCTCATGTCTGTGAAAAAAATACTTTGTGATGTGACTGTCAGGAATTTGTTTTCCAGATGGAGACATCATAAATATCTATCCCCTATCTATGATTTTCTTAACCATGTGTTTGGGTGATCAATTTTGAAACCATTTCCGAACACTATCCTGGGTTTGAATCCAATTAGAAACAATCATCATTTTGGTTCCTATCTTTGCCCCTCATTGAAGTATTCCTAATTGCAAAGTGCCACCACCTTAGCATTTGGTTGGTGTGTGTGCAATTTCCTAAACATATTTTAGTTTTGACTTAACTGTACTGTGACATTGAGCCTAACCAGGCAGGACACCTGGTGTTATTGCAAGAATTAAAATCATATTTCTTTTCATGTGATTGAGTACAAGTGCCTCTCAAACTTTGCTGTTTTAATTCAGGATCCAGATAATATCTGATCTGCATCACCATGACAACAGGCCAAAAAAAGCCACTTGGTGAATATGTGTGATCAGGTAGAACACTTATGAAGATATTGCTGGCCAGATGTCTGACCTGGTAACAGTTTGGGCAAGGCAACCCATTGTGCTGTACAGATCCACTCATCATGGGATAGAATCCAAGCTTTGCCCCAATTTTGACCCTTTGTCTGTGAGCTCAAGGGCTTCTCTAAAGTGACACATGGTACAGATCGTTGACCCGGGTCACTTTGGAAGACTCCTCCAACAATAAGCTGACATGCCATGATCATAATGTACTGAATGCTTTCAGAGATTATTGGAGAGCAAGTTTGGTTTGACACCGCTTTGAACCTTATTCCAGTTACATGTATATCACAGCGTGTCAGCTTTATGGGGAAGGAAAGTCTGAAGTGATGCAGGCTTCAGACGTTTACCACTTTGGGTATGGTGCTGACAAACCTAGAAGCATAACATGGTTGATCTAGCATTTGAACCCAAAATCATAGGTTTCTGGTGTGCCCAAGGGATGCAACTGCACTGCGAATTGTGGTGCCTTAGACAACTGGGCCACCCGTGCCCCTTCAGAGATACTGCCCCAGTGACCCACACTGTTTCAACTACACATCACCAACACTGCTGTATTGGTCGCACACTCATTTATTCAGTGTTACAAACATCCTGAATGAATTAACTAGAGGAGGTGGTCTCATATGTACAAATATTGACCATCAACATAAAACATTGGTAAAGTGATATCCGTCTTCTTGAGTCTAGTCAACTATCACACTTCGTGGGCTACGTGGCAACTCTTGTCACTTCGCCGCTGCTGACTCTCCGGCTAAAACTGAAAGCAAATTAAGACAAAAATGAAAATTGGAGAAAACTTTAGTGTTCGGTGGGTTGTCTAAAACAAGCCTACAGATGTTAAATACCCCTGAATGAGTGCATGTCTGATTTCTTTACTGTGTTGGAATTCTAGGATTTTACACAAACTTCAATATAATATTAATTTTAAACTTGTCCTGAAAAAATATTAGTTTCCCTAGGGTTTTGTTACTATCACATATACAATTTTATGAGGACTCTGCAAAATATACGTCAGTACTCTCTATTTATAGCTACTGCAATAGAGAAAGGTCAAGGTTACAACATTCACTAGTGTTATTGGTGTCATGGCATTGTGAAAATAGTTGTTTTTATTTTTTCTTGATTATTTCACAGGGTGGGTTCAACGGGTCATGGAATTTGAGTTTCACAGGCCTGGAATAATTTATGGAAAATAGAAAATTGTTAAATATTGGGGTATTCATACATACTAATAACTTTTTTCTGGTGATCTATCGGTGACAGGCAAATAAATGCTTTGACTATAATGACTTGTCAAACTCATAGTGTTTGAATCCTGGGCCTACCTTTAGAATACAGTACCACAAACTTTTCAAACACGTGATCATACCCTATGATATAATTTGTAGTATTTTGTTGCCAGTCACACCAGCGAAACAATGCCCTGTGACGTCAGGGGTCATCGAGTGTGCATAAGCTCCTCCCAGTGATCTATCATCTCTACACGCAATGTCATTGAATACACCAAGCGCTGTGGAAAGTTTTGAATATTTGTTTACTGAATATAGCCTGCGGCGGCACATTTTATAGCAAGCGCTAGTTTACGAAAGCACTTTTATTTTTTATATATTTTTTATTCCGTTTTTCTCATAATTCAAGTGGCTTAAAGGGTTATAAATGGGAACTAATATACATATATTATTTTTTCGTTGCATTAATTTTCATTATTATGCACAAGAATGTAGTTTGTTAGGGATATTTAATTGGTGCTGAACTCATCCAAATGTCGCCAGTGTTAGGGTTGGTTACCCCGAACTCTATCCTTAGCCCCTGGATCCCCTTTACGATAAATCACCCCTTTACGATCATTAGGGTTAGGAACCCGTTTAGTGGCTATTAGATTACCCTAAGTCTATCCTTAACCCTTTACGAACAATCACCCCTTTACGATCATTAGGGTTTAGTGGCTATTATAGATTATATAGCGGTATCTTGTAGATTACGGATGGGACGAGTGTGCCAAATGGCATTGGGATCATTCGTAAGTGTCCGTAGACTAAAGTCACGAGACACCATGCCTACCCGTAACCTTCGTAAGTGTCCGTCACCTATTCGACCCTTTTCGTTCAGTTCCGTAACGTCATAGGCATGACCAGGTTAATTTGAACTAAGTTTAACAGTGTGGACATAGCTCAGTCGGTTAGCTGTCAGGTTCACAATCCGAAGGTCGCGGGTTCGCGTCCGACGGATTCTCACTAAAACTGGTTGCTTGTCTTGTGACATGTGACCTACGGCAGAGATCGTCCTCACGAGAAGTTGTGGTACTGTATTCTAAAGGTGCTCCGATTCAAAAGATGAATTTTCTACATATTTTATGACTCAAAACTGGTAAGCTTCATACTCTGCAGTGGTTTATTAGGCCTCTGATGAAGCGAGGGAACAAGTGGCTGAGATGGGGTGGAATGGCTGTATGGTTTATTATATTTCACTATTGTCATATATTTTAGGGAACACTACATTTCATTCATCGGGGGGGGCAACATACCTTGTTTGCCTGGCTTCCCATTTTCCCAAATTGATGTTTTGATAATGGTCTCCTCTCGTTTCGCCGCCGCTGCTCTTAGTTCTGGTTTCAAGCATTTCCTCACAATACGGGCACAGATTTGGGAATATTGGATGTAGCTGGAAAACGAAACAGTGGCATTTTTAATCACTCACAATAGGCCACTGATCTTGCATAAGAAAATGAATAATACATTATCATCATGATCACCATCATAAGATGTAGCTTGACATGATGATCCAACTACAAATCTATAAGCCTTTACCTGCTATTCCCATCCCTGTGACTAGGTTAATGATGCTTATTACCCGACTGTTTACCATCAGAGGTACATATGCCTGATAACAACAAAATAGAAAATAATTTTACCACAAAAACTGTCAATAAAACCCAGTAATATTTGAGGCGGTTGCAAACTTGCAATGCCCAATAAAGAAATAGAACAGTTGTACAAAATAATGACGTTTCTTCATAATATTGACAGATCAAGTCTGTGAAAGGAATTTAGAAGTGATACACATAAGGAAGAGAATTTATGGATGTAAACTTCTTTATTATGAGAAACAACGTTTCGTATGCAGCATACACTCCGATGAGTTACCATGTTACACCGTATTACCCTCCCTAAGCATATAAGCGCCGACTTCTAGTTTTATTCCATACCTTCTGTCAGTAATAACGAGGTCCTGTCTGAAGACAATGACTGATGTAGGCCTAAATGCTCCACTCAATAATTGCTGATCGAAAACCGAACATATGCACTACAATAAAGGCATCGGAGCGTGCGCGCAGGTGAAAAACGATACAGTATCGAATGCGCACCATGAACGTATGAAATATACAAATATGTTCGTAGATACAATAAAGATAATTTGATTATCGATGGCAGACTCCTCATGTATCGATATGATTCGTAGAGGTCAAATGGAATAGACGCCAAGTCGTCCTCGGCGAAGTTTAGATTCTACAGTCTTTCGTCACTTTTCTCACTTTAACCAACATTTGCACTCAATAGTATCAACCATAGATGTCCTTATGTGACTATACTCGGTGTTTACTCACTTCATCCCCACTTGTCTCCACGCTGTAGACATTTTAATTGAGCGAAAACTGCCGGCTTGACTGAACCACGAGAGATCGTCACCGAGGAGAAAACAGAGCTGACGAATATTTGGCCTGTTGTTTCGTATATTCCGCTTTAGACTGGAGTTACTTCCCTTGGATTAGTTTTTCACCGGGCTCGCGCCATCGTCTTAGCATGCACAAGCTCGTACAAAAATCAAACTATTGAATTACCATCATGCCCAATTTCTGGGAGTCCTTTATAACATTAGGTAGTATATCTTATAGGCTCCCTGCTATTGAAATCAAGGCCATGTTTAGCCTCACTAAAATGTTAACTTCTGTCAAAAAAGGTGTAAGCAAATTCAACAACACAAATAAAGAAATGCCTTATTAAATTTTGAACTAAGAACGTTCTACGTTGGACATCTGTTGTTATGGTGTGTTTTTTAAAGTGAAAAGTGTGAGTTTGCATCGTTTGGTTAACTTCTCAACCGGATTCATATCTCTTGTTGATTATGAATACTAAGAAAAGTACTTAATATAATTTTGTCACCTGGCAACGGAAGCAAACCAAGGTTAAAAACATAAATTTTATTCTTGTCCATAACACAATACTGACTAGTGACACACACACACACACACACACACACACACACACACACACACACACACATATATATATATATATATATATATATATATATATAATTCAGGTTGGGGTTATGCATATTGAAAATACAAGTGAACGTTGAGATGGGTGTACCTGAAAGCGTTATATACTTTATTATTCATGAAGATTTGTAGAGAACCGAATGTATGTGTCAGCTCTTGATGATTCTACTTATTGTCCAGTGGCAACCCTCAGCGGTACGGCAGTCAGGATGTGGTACGGATGGACCCGGTCACGTGTCTGGGAAAACACAAGCTGATTGGTGGAGACATGGAGACCGAGGGAGAGAAACAGTTGCAGGCAATGGCCAAAAAACAACTGAACACAAATGTTTCTCTTCGACAGTGAGTACAAATACAACACCGAGAGTCCCGCGCTTCCAGATAATGGCAATGTGCATTACCGAAAACCGTCTGAAGAAATACCCTTACAAAAACCCTTCGTTTTTGACGACGTTTAACAAATGACATAATTTAACATTTAATAGTAAGTTTTAAACTGATGTAAAATATCCGAGGTATATATTTTTTTTCTCGTCAGTGGTATTTTCCGAAAGTATACAACCTCTGGAAGTCTATGAGATTTCCGAGTCAGTAAGGGCCCCCAGTACTACACGTTTGTGTCAGAATGGCACAGTGGGGATCGGTCAAGTTCTGTGACTGGTGAGTGGCGAGGGCGTAGATCGTTGTTCATGCTTTCAGTCACTGGTTTGTCTGGTCCAGAGGTGGTTATTACGAGGCCGTCGTAACATACATATTTAGGACTCCACTGTTAAACAGTCTACACCCATTCACCCTTTCAGGAGACGCTTTGGAATCAGACGCAATCTCAATTAAAATTAAAATTAGATCTGGCTTAGCGGTAGCGAGAACTAAGATCGGGATTTAATGAGACTGAATCAGACGCTGTATCTCAACTGTTCCTAATTTCAGGCAGTTTGCCCAACACCGTAACTTTGCTGCGTCGGGCGAGTACAACCCGGCCGCTAAAACCCTGTGTGGAGTTTCCCTTCTTGGAGACTACAAGGAGGTGGTGAAACACGACGGTGCTGTGGAGGAGCTCAAGAAGTGTGGCCTGACGGAGGGAGAAGTCCAGCTGAAGCTCGGCCAGCCAGAAGCTGCAAGTTTTACACTTTAAATCTTCCCTCACTACCGTCGTGTAGTTGGATAGCCTTATATACTAGTACACTGCAAGTATTACACCTTAAATCTTCCCTCACTACCGTCGTTTAGTTGGATAGCCTTATATACTAGTACACTGCAAGTTTTACACTTTAAATCTTCCCTCACTACCGTCGTGTAGTTGGATAGCCTTATATACTAGTACACTGCAAGTATTACACCTTAAATCTTCCCTCACTATCATCGTTTAGTTGGATAGCCTTATATACTAGTACACTGCAAGTTTTACACTTTAAATCTTCCCTCACTACCGTCGTGTAGTTGGATAGCCTTATATACTAGTACACTGCAAGTATTACACCTTAAATCTTCCCTCACTATCATCGTTTAGTTGGATAGCCTTATATACTAGTAGCTGTCTGAATATCTTGACGGGATATGTTCATACCATATCAGCGATAGAAACTTACAGTTTTAGTCAACTTGTCCCCATAATAATAATATATAGAAGAACCCTTAAGAAGAGCAATTTTCTACTAGTCCTTATAATACCTTAACTATTGAGCAGTTTGGCAAGGGCTATGGACCGGTGCCAATTTCCTACGCTGCATTTGTAGCGCTCTTCGGGTCGTTATCGGTGAAGTAAATGTTTGTTTGATTGGCTTGAAGTTGGGCATGTAAAAGAACACCATTAATATAAGCACAGACCATATACCCATATATGGTCTCTGATATAAGTGAGTAAAAATCCTGATTTTGTTAATCATGCAACTTAGTTTTTCGGTATTCTCATCGCCATGACAACACCTTATGGCTTCATGTTCCAGGGAGAGAGTTATGGCCTTGACCCCCAAGTCTACAGAGACCGACTTGAGGAGATCGACCGTCGCATCTCGGACAAGAGCACATCAGTCGACAACACCAGTCGGGCCAACACGGATGTGAAGGAGATGGGTCGCCATGAGCTGGAAATCGAACACAGGCTCACGGGCGAGAACAGTCACGCAAGATCCTTGTCGGATTACCTTACGACACAGAAAGTGATCAAAGGCGACCCGAACGATCCTATTAACCGACTCCCGGATCTGTTGTCCGACATTGAAAAGAGGGGACATGGGAAGAAAGGGGGTAGGGGTGAAGGACGCAGACTGGTTTACTCTGTGCGGGACGACATGGAAGTTGGCGAGGACTTGGGTGTAGATAGGGAAGGGTTTATTGGACCCCTCCTGCCACCGGAAGTCCACATCTCCGACCAAGGACCTGCGCTAGATTGCGCTGCTTCTTCCCAACCTGCGGCTGTAGATGCTGACGGTCGACGGGTGATTGTGGACGCAGTGGAAGATATACCGGAAGACATCATTAAGAAATATCGCCTGAAACTCGAAGACATCCGGGCACTCCCTAGGTTTGAGAATTACTCGCCAGGGGAACCCTCTAACGTAAGTTGTGTGACATCCGGGCATTTGCTAGGTTTGAGAATTACTCGCCAGAGGAACCGGCTAACGTTAGTGGTCTTATAGCTCCCAAAACATTTCATATAGTATGCGCTAGAGCCCCATTTGTCAATACATCAAGCTGGATGGCAGAACATATACTCAAAGATCGCCGTTACTATAACGATGTATACATTCGACTATTTCAACATCTGTGAGCTATATGTCAGGTGTATTGGAACTTTTCACATGGACAACATTGTAGTCCATGCATGGACGTGTTCGACTTCATGAATTAAAATTGTGAGGATTTGCTAAAACCTATTTCTAAAATTTCAGGAAATCATAGACGGCAGTAGCTTTCAGTTTCAGAAAGTGAGGAAACCCTTTTAGATTCAGACACTAACATAATGTGTTGCAGGTCTTGTATCTGAAGAATCTGGCTGCCCTTGTGTCGGAACGGGATCTCGTGTCCTTGTTCGCCCGTTTCCAGGACGACAAGGTCAAGGTCGTATACAGGCTCATGTCCGGCCGGATGAGGGGTCAGGCCTTCGTCACTTTCCGTGGTAAGTTCAACAACAACACAACAACAATGTGACTGGACATCACCTGGTCTCCATACATTTTACAAGCGGAACGGCTGAGATTGGTCCCCTAATTTGTTCATGCCCTCCCCCCCCCCGTTCACTGTTCTAGCGGGATTCGCCGAAGTGATACCCCCTGCCTCACTTGAAGCTTTGCTCCTACAATAAGCATGACAGGCAGTGATGTGGCTGATGAACCCAACAAAGCGGCATTTGACACTACTCAGACTTATAGTTATACATCGCAACCATTATGTTCGCTCTTAATATCAATCCACCCGTTTTAGTCGCCGTTTTGTTTCAGACACGGTGACCGCCACAGCAGCTCTGGAACTTGTGAATGGATACCACTTCCGGGGCAAGCCTATCATCATCCAGTATGGGAGGAAGTCAACGGGGACGATCACCTAGTAACAAGAGACGAGACCAGCTCTACCAGACTTCAGGGCCAGACGTGTATGTCGGAGAGCTCCCTGGTTGGCAAGGATCAATGAATACAGCCTGGTTGTGCCAGGCAAACTTGAGGCAGCATCAAGTTGTGATTGGACCTTAGGGAGTAAGTGGGGTTTGTGCCACTGTCATCAACCTTCCAGTGATATCACCACGTGATGAATGAGGTTTGAGCCTGGGTCTTCGGCGTGATGAACAAACACGTTAACGCTAGGTTACTCCACCGGCCTTTGCAGTGAACTCCATCAGTGAACTGTGTTTTTTAGATGTGTGGTGGAAATAGACCATTGGCAGGTACAGGACATGAGAAGGGAGAGATAACTGTATCCTGCTACAACTATCAGGCACTGTAACACCACGGATCGTGCGTCACTACACAATCTCATTAAAACCTGATCTTTTTACCCAAACATGCGTAACTGAGTTCTGAGGAGGCCACGTCACGTGAACCTTCTAATCAGCCACAATCAGCTTCTAAATTCTCCGTAGGATGAGCGAAGCATTTAGACTAGCACATCTGATATCTGTATCTTGAATTGGAAGTCAATCGGCCTGTTCCGAATGAAAAATATCAAGGCCGCGCAATTATATTGTTGTGGGTATTTTATACATCATGTGGTGTCTGAGCGCATCCACAACCAATAGGGAGCACCATCGATGGAATATTTGTGTTCTGTGTTGGTCTTCTTTGGTTAAAGTCAAACTTGCCGAAGTGATGTTTCCAAATCCACGCATCCTTCATATAGACTGGGCGGCCACAGTTCGATCACGGCCCACCTCACACGACCTACTCTGCAGAGTGATCGTATGGGAGCAAAAGAACTGATTTTAATGAATTTGGTCTCTACTCGCCCTTTTCCGTTACTCCGCGATAGGAGCCATTCGTCTTTTCCCGGATTAACACGAGTGGTCACGAATGGCTACTGAATCTTCCACTGCCCTGAATAAAGAATTCAGCTACGCGCCAGTTAGACGTTGATTGTTACTTGTTTTGTTGTCGAGTGTGCAAGACGTGATCAATCATTTCGTTTCTTTAAGTATTTGTTCGATCCCCGGCCGCGTCATACCAAAAGACGTTAAAAGATGGTACTTGTTGTTTCCCTGTCTGGCGCTCGGCATTAAGGGGCTAAAACAAGGACTGGTCGGCTCGGAGTCAGTATACTGTGTCTGAGTGGGGTATTCATGTTAAAACTGCGGCATGGTATCTCAGTGAGCTAGCACTATAAATCGGCATCAGTCCGGACTAGTACAAGCAGCCACACACACACGTGCATGCACGTCGCTATATAAGTGCAATAATCTTGGACGCGACGTTAATCCAATTTCACCCCACCTCTTTAGGTATTTACATTCGTCGAGTAAGCTCGGGGTTTATCGGTCAGTCGACGTTCAGGTCCTTTAATACTCAACACAAAAATATTCCCGTTATATGACGGCGGTCTGTCCGACATTTCCGAGGTCGGATTCTATTCAGTGAGTCATCATTATAATTTGGGTAAACATTTTTTAAGCTTGTACGTTTTATCAACATCCTAAAAGAGGCTGCACGTCATGTTGACGTGTTCATGTTCGTTGTTTATCGTACAATAAAACTGTTCCCCTCATGGTTTATTCTCCCTGCAGTGTTTTATTGCACGATAACCAACACCCACTCGTCGTTTACTTCTTGAATGGAGAAAGCACTAAACAGATACAAGTAGTATACGTACAGTATAGTATGGATAGTATGGATAGTATGGTAGATAACTATCTCCACAATTAACAACTTACAGGAACCGTCAATGGCAATAAAATGGAATCCAATGACACAAATGTTTACATGTGCCAGCATAACATACACGACGCATACTTCTAAATATGCTACATGCACAAACACATAAGATATATGTACTTTATGCAGAATCTCTCAATAACATTCCCAATTTAGTAAATAATGATAAAATAAACAATATTTTTAATACATATTAATATTTTAGGTTTAGTTAAGTAAATAAACCAACCTTTGATAGCACATCGCGGAGAACTTGAATTGGTTGTTGGTTGGTTGGTTGTTTTACGCCGCACTCCGCAATATTCCAGCTATATGACGGCGATCTGTACATAATCGAGTCTGGACCAGACAATCCAGTGATTGACATCATGAGCATCGATCCACGCAATTGGGATCGATGACATGCATCAACCTTGTCAGCGAGCCTGACCAACCGATCCCGTAAGTCGCCTTTTACGACAAGCATAGTCGCCTTTTACGGCAAGCATGGGTTGCTGAAGACCTATTCATCCCCGGATCTTCACGGGTGGGAGAACTTGAAAGTGAAAAGTGGCGTCAAAAAATGGCCCATCATAAATGGTTCGTATATATGTGGAATACATGTCTGTCCAGGGACTGTGACAAGATATCATACCCTCCGAGTGAGTGAGTGAGTGAATGTGGTTTTACGCCGCTTTTAGCCATATTCCAACAATATATCACGGCGGAGACACAATAAATGGCCTTCACACATTGTACCCATGTCAGGAATCAAACCCGGACCTTTGGCGTGACGAGCGAACGCATTAACCACCGCCCTGATCCCCTCCGAGGCCCACGCACGTGCCGAACGATGCTGGAGTGTCTGGACCCCACTGGTGTGGAAGCCTTCCTGCTGGTGGTGTAAAAAGTCCTCAACAGCAGAAATGAAAAATCTTTATATGCATAATGTTTGCCAGACAGTTCTTTCTTGAAGTTGAGAAAATCTGACGGTGTCAAATCTGGGGAATACGGAAGATGTCCAATGAGTTCAAAGCCACAGTCATACATTGTAGCCATGGCAACAACAGACATGTGCACGGGTACACTGTCCTGGGGGAACAACACACTTTAAGTGAGTTGTACACGAAGTTTAGCCTTGATATTCTTACGCAGTTGCCGAGTCAAAATAGCATAATATTGGCCTATTTATTGGGCTGACTTTTTGAGAGGTAGTTCACGCGTAAGATTTCTTTGAAATCCCAGAAAACCAAAGTCATCGCCTTGTCAGCTGCTGGAAAAGACTTTCCCTTCTTCGCGGGAGACATTCGATGTTTCCACATGCTTCTCTTGGATCGTTTCTGATCAGGAGTCGGGAGGCTTGGAACCCAGCGATCTGAAACCTTTGTCATGTTCAGGTCATTCCTTAGAATGTCCTCAGCTCTGCATACAGATGCCGACCGTATTGGCCACGTGACGTGTGGTGAGTCGTCGATCATCCATAATCCTATCATGTAATTTGTCAACATGTTCTGAGGTGGCAGTTGAAGGTCTCCCTGATCCTGGTCCATCCCATTCCCTAAAGTTGACACCATGTCCGCATCAGGTGGAAATAAACGTGATGACAACGCGGTTGCCAATGTTGTCCATTTCTTCAACAGAGAAAACCAAGTCACGTTGGTGCCTGTAGAAACACGCTGCCTGGTTGTGTGACTGGTTCCAGTGCAGCCTGGAGGGAGTGAGGGAGTGAGTTGGGTTTATTCCAATTTTATTAGTATTCCAGTTATATCGCGGCGTGTCAGCTTAGTGTGGGAGGAAAGCCCGAAGTGATCGCAGGTCTCAGACGTTTACCACATAATCAGGGCGAACCGCGATTCGAACCCACAATCATAGGTTTCTGGCGTACCCAAGAGACGCAACTCTGCACAGCGAATTGCGGCGCCTTAGACGACTGGGCCACATGTGTTTACATGTGATGGACAAAGTATCTGTTGACATAAAGACTATAAAACATAACATGGCCTAATACTGAAACAGACCATAGAGTCTGTACAAAGACACCTACCCTGTGGGTGACACGGGAGTGTGTCCACGCACCAAGTAGCCCGACAACAAACTCGTATAGTAAACCTATATAAGGGATAATACATTGATCAAATGTATTTCTTGACAACTAGATTACATATAAAGGGCTACCATTATACTTTCTGAAACATATATACATAACTGTGACCACCACTAAGAAATACTACAATGTTACCAACAATACAGGATTGATGATATATCAATCGTACATCATACAGTAAACAGTTACAAAACAATAATTACTAGCCAACATATTGACCAAATTAAACATAGAAAACAAACCATACGCACATTCATACAGGTTAGATGGTAGATTGTGTATATACTTACACTAGGTTGATCATGAACATATTTATACCTATTTTATGCAATGATTTATATTAGACTTTAATTTACAATTTATATAATAACTAAAATGTATACTAACTAACCTTTGAGTTGTACAATATTTAAGCTGGTGTACAATCCTCATGCAGTGATACTGTGACTGGTAAGTAACATGGTGGATGACATGTATATTTGAAACAGGACCAATCAAGTGAGATGCTTGGCCTGGGGTATTGTTAAAACACCAAAGACAATGACATGAAAATAGACCAAGCCAAATACCCTTATACCTAAAATGTGATCAGCCCTATGACACAGAACTGTGCAGTAAACATAAAAGCAAGAGACAGGTCGTCGTCTGCCGGATCACTAAAACCTGAAATAAGATTAAAATGATTCATTATACATTTATGTACACGATATACTATAACTAAATTAACCCCTGTTACACTTATACCCCTAACACTGAATCGTTGTCCATTATCATTGTCACATTGAGATTATGTCAGGGAAGTGACGCAATACACAACATGCAATCACTCCCAGAGCAACGATATACAGAAGATAAGGGCGTCGCTGTTTGTTTGTTTGTTCTTTAACGCCGCACTCAGCAATATTCCAGCTATATGACGGCGGTCTGTAAATAATCGAGTCTGGACAAGACGATCCAGTGATTGAAATCATGAGTATCGATCCACACAATTGGGACACGATGACATGCATCAACAAGGTCAGCGAGCCTGACCCGTTAGTCACCTCTTTCGTATGTATTAGAGTGAGTGAGTGAGTAAGTATGGTTTTACGCCGCTTTTAGCAATAGTATGTATTAGATATAACATGAAGAGTGAAAGGGTCAGGTAAGTTGACGCGATTTGATATGTTTTTCAGGAACACCGTCAATTGGCGTGCATACCGCGGTGCATCACCTTAGACGCAGGTCGCAGATACTACTAGAAAAACCCATGGCGTTTGGTGCAGACAGACCATTAGGATCATCGTGGCAAATGTGGGATTCGAACCCACGACCAGCTGGCACTGCTAATGGGTGCAACTCTGTAGTGTATTGCAGCGCTTTAGAGCACTGGGTTGGAGGCGTTGCCTCTTAACTCGAAGACGTATCTTATGAGTGCGTGAGTGAGTACGGTTTTACGCCGCTTTTAGCAATTTTCCAGCAATATCACGGCGGGGGACACCAGAAATGGGCTTCACACATTGTACCCGGGTCTTTGACATGACGAGCGAACGCTTTAACCACTAGGCTACCCGACCGCCCCACGTATCTCATGAACAACATGCTCACGTTGGTTTTTTGTTTATAGATATGTAGATAGATTATTAATGAATTATGACCTGAAAAAAAACCAGTTCGTGTGAGGATGTTGTGTTCTAAGCCGATGTTTCACTACATATCAGCCCATGTGCTCCCGCAATATCACGGCTTTAATCACTTGGCTATCGTACCACCCTAGGAACAAAGAAAACATGGAATCCTATATGTACAAATGTTGTTTATAGCCCCCCCCCCCCCCCCCCCCCCCCTCGCGTGACGTATTAGTAGCATGATGTGGATATAGGACATAACAAATTATTAGGAAATGGGTGACGCCAAAGGGCGAACGCAAAATAAAATATGAATGAATGAATTTGTTTTATTTCCTACAGATGTTACATCCGAAAATTTACAAAATCTCTGATATTCTCAGAACAAATGCATTGTGCTAGTATTTATATAGATAGGTGCATTATCAACACATAAAATGGGGTTTAGTGGTTATGTGTTTCTCCCACGGCCACTGAAAAACACCCCTTACCATTCTCATTTACCTGAAAAA